TTGCTATCTGGGATAGTATATTCATGGATAAAAAATCCGTGGACAAAATATACAAAAACGTTATAAGTGCAATTTTGAGCGCTTAATTATGAAAGTAGCGGGAAGTTGTAGGGATGGTCTTCAGGGTCAACCGTTTTCCTAATTTTTTTTTTTAGTTAGAAATTTTTATTCGACATTAGACCAACACAAACGCGGGTAATCGTGTTGCGCCTTTTTAACATGGTTTTTGTGTGTGTTTATTCGACATTAGACCAAAACAAACGCGGGAAATCCACAAAATGGATTTTTTATCCATGAATATTTTATCCCGCGGATTTTTTGTCCGAGGATATTTTGTCCGCGGGTATAGAATCTGGTTACCCTTGAAAACTATTGTAGATACAGAAATTTTCTATTACTCGTTCTAAAAGGGATACTTGGCACGATAGAAAATGAAATATCTTTGAAAAAAAATTTTAAAAATAAAAAATTTTTAAACTTGAAATTTATTAAAATCGTCAAAATCGTATGATGACACGAAATATTGGGCTCAGAATTTTTACTACAATATCTTTACACAATTTTAAGAGATCCTAAAAATTTCAGAAAGGTGTTTTTTATTGTTTTTTATTAACAACAATGAAATTATTTATTTTAATTCAACAGTAAAATTAACTAATGACAAATTTACTCCTAATAATTACTTTCAAAAATTAACTTACAAATTAACTTAATTATGAGAACCTCTCACCTAATCTCTACAGGCCACTTGCCAGAAAACCTTATAAACTAAATATCGCTTATCGCTCGCTTTATTTTCCTAAACCTCGTCAACCTAACGGAATACCAATAAAATACCATAAATTACCTCGACAACCTGACGGACCACCATATAATATCATAAAATTACCTCATCAACCTGACGGACTGTTTGAAAACGATGCTTATATAATTCTTGGCATCAATGACTATTTATGTTCTTCAGTAGTTATACTGTAGAAAATAATAGCGATGCCAAGGGAAGTTCAATTTTCCCTGTTACAAGCTGAACGGTTTTGATTTAAGAGAAGTTTTAACAAAATCACACTTACAATATAGACTAGCAGATTTTCGGAAAATTAAATATCAATAACCTACATTTTTTTTGAAAAATAACTTTCTTTTAATTTTTAATTTTTCCATAACCATTAATAATAACACCGGCACACAAAAAAAAAAAGTTGTCAGTACTTTTGACGGGACCCATATATCTTTATGTATTTTGACCCGCTGAATTCGAATTTGAGGTCAGTTTGACCCGTACACCGTCAAATTTTCGAGAAAACTTTGAAAAACCGAAAAAAACTGACGAAAATCGGAAATTTAGGCGATTTAAAATGATTTAAAAAATTTTTTTGACCTAAACTAAGCATGATTTTGATGTATTTCGACCCGCTTAATACATATCTAAAGTTTATTTAGACCATAAGCCATTAAAAGTTTAAGTAAATTCCAAAAAACCCTGAAAAATGGCAAAAAAAGCAAAAAATAGCAAAGAAAGCAAAAAATTCCAGATATTGTGTTAAAAAAAATTTTATAAAATTAATAACTAAAGCATTCGAATATTATTAATAATACAACAAATTGCTTTTATTTTTCTTGTGCTTCTATATTGAGATAAGAATGTCGAAAAATGAGAATCACTGAGTTAATATAGTTGAAACTACTGGAGAAAAAGAAAGAGAAAAAATTGTGTATTTTACGAATCTTGAGCAGTTCTTGAGCAAGCCATGTGTAAGAATCTGTTGTAGATTTATTGCGCAAGAAATGCGTCAGAAATAAAAAAATTTATCCATTTTGCGCATTTTGAGCACATCTTGAGCAAACCATGCGCAAGCGTCTTTTGTAAGTTACTAGTGTAATAAATGCACCAGACACTTGTTCACTGCAACATGTTCAAAATATATTCGGGAAAAAATGATCAGACCTGATCAGACATAAACAGGCATGAGTCTTCAGGCCTGATCAGGCATGAAAAATGATCATGCCTGATCAGGCATGAATCGACCTGATCAGACATGGTCAGGCCTGAAAGCCCATTGTTACTTTTAATTAATCATTTTGCTTAATTTTATGGATATAGTACTTGATAGTCATACGCAATTCTCTATAATGAATTAAAATAAAAAAAAAAAATGATTACATATAATTATACGGCTATAACACCAGCAGTCACCCATCCAACTACTAATCACGCTCAATGCTGCTTAACTTTGGTGATATCCGTGCGCCTTGAAGTTCCTGCCTGCTGTGCTGCTATCTTGTGTGACAACAATTCTTTGAAGTACATATCAACGTATCAAATAAGTTTATCATAAATATAAGATGAAAATTGATTTTATAATAAATTTTGATAGTCCTAATTTATTTATTTAACCGAATCTCATTATAACATCACATTTATTTAAATAATAAAATAAGTAATGATTTTAATATTAGGCAGGAGTAGAGCAGAACAAAACATTCCATAGGAAATGTAACAAATTTTTTATTCCAAAATTATTTAAACGTAATGATAAAAATAATTTTGCACATTTTGTGATGACCAAAAAAGTTTTTTCCGTCAAAGAAAAAATTTTCATCACATTTCTGACTATGCAAAGGCTATGATAGGCCTGATTAGACATGGACAGGCCTGATCAGACTTGAGTGTATTTAACGCTTCAGACATGGACAGGCCTGCTCAGGCCTGAGCGTATTCAACACTTCAGACATGAACAGGCATGGGCAGGTCTGATCAGACATGGACAGGCCTGAGCATATTTTGCACTTCAGACATGAACAGGCATGGACAGGTCTGATCATTTTTTCCCGGGTATCACCAATATTCTTGCGTACAATCAGAGTTGCGAAATTTGTAATTAAAAAGTATTCGAATTCCATTACTAAATTTATTTTTTATTTGAGTTTGTGGAAAATAATATTACAAAATATTTTTTAATTAAAGTTAATTTCGAGTAAAAATATCGATTGTAATTGTATTTGCAAATATCTATAAATAAAAATATCAAGTATTTTGTAATGACAACAGTTTGATATCAAAATACAATTATTAATTAATTATATTTGAGTGAACATCAAGTACAAAATATATTCTGTTAGAATTAGAGAAACGTTATTAAAATACTTTGTAATGTTACTGATTTCAATTCTCAATAATCAAAATATTTCTTTGGCTCTTTATGGATCGTAGTATTTCATATTCCGATTAATTATAATATTTTGTTAGTTATATATTTGATAAATCCTTATAAAAGAGTCGGAATTTTTTGAATGAATTCAACTATTTAGAATAGATCAGAATTATCTTAAATTTATTGTTATATTTCAAATAGATTAATAATGTTCGAGGACGATTTGAAGTGCGCAAAAACAAATTAGATAATCAAATAATAATCTAAAATACTCCAGATTAATGTACGGTATTGAAAAATGATCTCGGCTTGTCAAACAATTTACAACTATTTTCAAATGTTTCAAAAGCGTTAAATATAGTTTGTCGCGACTTTCAATCATCCGGAAAACTTAAAAATAATAAAAACATTATGAAACAATTATAGTTATTACAGATAAAAATACAAAAATAGAAATATACTCATACGTGATTGTTCTATAAAAAAAAGTAGCAAATTCGTAAAGCAGGGTATGAATGTTAGTTTTTTCAAATTTTATTTCCATACAGAGATAGTGGTAGTTAATCACAAAAAAATAGTGAAAAATTTATTTTACATTTTTTAATTTATTCAGTTAACATAAGGGTACAAAAACAAATCTTTATAAGTAAAAAAGACATTGTTTATGTCATCATATATATTAATTATGTTTTAATTATTCTATTAACAAATACTTATCTAGAGTTAATATATATTACTAAACGTTTAGTGTTAATAAGAAGTTTAAAGTTATCAGGAACGTGGAACAAGGGTAAAAACAAATGTTACGTTTTCAAATGTTGCAACGTTTCGTTGTTATTTACAACTTCTTCAGGCAAGCTGTGTACAGAGAAAAAACAATAATATAAAAATATGTAAAACAAATGAAAGAATACAATTTGAAAATAGAAATTCTTACATTTGAGGTTAACATTTATGTAATAACAATAATCTTCTGAAACACTTCATCGTTAATTAAAGTAATAAATGAAGGAAAAACTAATTAATATAATACAGTATTACTAACAAATTTAAGTGCAAGTATAACATTTATCAGCCAAGTAACTAATTGATAAACAAAAAGCATGTTACTCGAATCAGCTGTCAAGTGAAACTAATAAAACCACTGTGGTAACAGTAATTCATACTATATATTCTGTTATACCGACTGCAAAACAAGATGTTTACAAATAATCCTACCCTGATAGCCACCTTACCTACCCAGTTAGCACAGGTTGACCATCAACTAGTTGATGTTCAATAGTTTTACGTCAACTTTATGTTAACTTCGCGTCAACCTCTGCATTTGCAACAGTTTCCCAGAACTTGACTTTAACTTACACATCAAGTTAGCGTAAATCTATTGCCGGAATTTTCCGAAAGGTTCGCTCAAAGTTAACGCAAAGTTGCAGAAAGTTAACGTTAACTTCACGTCAACTGTTGTAAGTATAACTGTTGCTCTACTGTTAGCGTAAACTTTACGTCAAATTCCGGCCGCAGGTTTACGTGAACTTCGTTTCGCTTGTGCTAACTACGGAAGCCGGGTTGGCTCACCATCCACTTACGAGAAAGTGGCGCTCCTTTCGCTCACTAGTTAACTGGTGCACTAGTGCACTAGTTAACTTGTGGACTGGTGGACGCGACGCGACAGTATTGGAAACGCGCATTAATGAGGTGTCGCCATTTTGTCATGCGCAGATACCAAAATAACGTCGCTATTTGTTTACATTATTTAACGTGATCAGTGTTTATAGATTGAGATTAGTAAAAATTTTTTAATACTGCTGATGTTAAGAATTATTAAAAAATAAAAATTTAAAATTTGATTAGTGATGTGAAGTGTAGTGTTAGTCTCAACATGATCGAACAATTAATAAGACAATACTTTTTGAAAAACTATAAAATTTCTGAAATCCGTGATTTATTACTAACTAGAAACGAAATAATAATTTCAATCAGCACAATAAAGAGAATATTATCTTCGTTGGGATTGAAAAGGAAAAATGTTCCGGAATCAAGCATGCAAGATATAGTTTCAGCGATTATAAAAGAGATTTATTCGTGTGGTTATAATCTTGGATACAGGAGTTTATGGAAGAAGTTAAAACTAGAATACAACCTTACGGTCAAAAGAGATACCGTATACAACTTGTTAAAAGTTATTGATCCAGACGGATTAGCAAATCGTTTTGGTAATAAATTGCGACGAAGACAGTACATTAGCCCAGGACCAAACTTCATATGGCACTTGGATGGCTATGATAAATTGAAACAATTTGGTTTTGCCATCCATGGTTGCATTGATGGCTTTTCAAGGAGGGTTTTATGGCTAGAAGTTGGCACCACAAATAATGATCCAGCAGTGACAGCTTTTTACTTTTTAAAAACAGTGAAGAAGCTGAAATTTCTGCCGACGCTCATTAGATCTGATAAGGGTTCGGAAAACGGTCTTATAGGAGAGCTCCAAATTTTTCTGCAGAAAAACCATACTGATAACCTTGCAGGAGACAAAAGTTTTATTCAAGGCAAGAGTGTCAAAAACCAAAGGATAGAATCTTACTGGGGACGGATGCGTCAACACACTGTTGATTTTTATATTCAATTTTTTAAATGCATGCAAGAAAAGGGATTATTCGATGGTAGTAATTTACATATCAAATGCTTACAGTTTTGTTTCGGTCCACTTATAAGGCACGATCTGAATACCAACAGAAAATTATGGAATGAACATCGTATTCGAAAGCAGGCAGTACGTAATCATTTAGCTGGGCGACCAAATGTATTATTTCATTTGCCTCACCGTTACGCAAGTAGAGATTACAGAAGGAAGGTCAATCCTAATACAGTTGAAAAACTTATGAATAAGTTTACAAAAAAACCAAAATTATTCGAACGGTACATCAGGGAATTATCTGAACTTTTAATATCTAAAGTCAAAATTCCAGCAAATCCCACCGATGCATTAAATCTGTATAAAAAGATTTTACAAGAATATGCAAAATTTAAAAATGAGAATCAAGTTTGAAAATAAAGTGAATTTAAGAAAAAAAATAAAGTTTGGCATGGTTTTAAAAATTTTTCATGTGCATTAGTAAACTCTATAAAATAACGATTTCACAATTTTAAGAAATTATGCGAAAAATGAATTGAAATTATTTTATTTTGTACTACTTTGATGTATGATAACTACAGATTTTTATTATTTGATAATATAATGTATTTAAAACATTTACATGTAAAAATTATAAGAAAATCATATTTTTAACATTTAAAATATATTTACCTTACCTTATTATTTTATTAATACCTTATTAATTTACCTTACAAAAAAATGTGTACACTGAAAAAATAAAGTTGTTAATTTTGATTGTTAAATTATTTTTTTTCTGAAATCATTATTTGTAAAAAATTAAATCACTTTTATTTTCTTTTTATTGTAATGGAATATTTTAAGCCATTAATAGGCGTTCAATTAAGACTTTGTCTTATACACTCGTTCATATTATATGTCTACGTAGAATTTTTCTGAAAATTCCAGAAACATTTATCAAAAGATTACATTAATATTGAATTTTCTGTATTCTTTCCATGTTAAAAGCAAAGTTAGTATTTTAATTTTTTATCACTTTATCATCTTAAGCTCTAATTTTTCCTTAATTAATAATACATTTTTGGTTATCCTTAAATTGCAATCACTAGCATCAGTACATTTTATTTCCGACCCGCAGTTAAAATGTATTAACATTTTTGGTTGCTAGGAAAGTCTCTCTATATATTTAATTCATAACCATAATAAAAAATAAAATTTTAATCTTCGAAAGACATTATAATTATTAAAGATAAAGATATAAATATACCCTGATTAAAAAAAGGAATTTGACAGAATTAAAAAGAATTAAAATGTTAATACTTCCAAATTCTGCTAAATACTGCAAATCCTGTTTCAAAATTCACGATTAATCATATTAAATACTTTGTAATCCTGAAATAATGTTTTCATTTCAATATTTTTTTAGAATATAAAAAGATTTAACTAGCATTTAAAATTTCTGATTCTATAGAATACTTTGTAATCCTGAAATAATGCTTTCATTTCAATATTTTTTTAGAATATAAAAAGATTTAACTAGCATTTAAAATTTCTGATTCTATAGAATACTTTGTAATCCTGAAATAATGCTTTCATTTCAATATTTTTTTAGAATATAAAAAGATTTAACTAGCATTTAAAATTTCTGATTCTATAGAATACTTTGTAATCCTGAAATAATGCTTTCATTTCAATATTTTTTTAGAATATAAAAAGATTTAACTAGCATTTAAAATTTCTGATTCTATAGAATACTTTGTAATCCTGAAATAATGCTTTCATTTCAATATTTTTTTAGAATATAAAAAGATTTAACTAGCATTTAAAATTTCTGATTCTATAGAATACTTTGTAATCCTGAAATAATGCTTTCATTTCAATATTTTTTTAGAATATAAAAAGATTTAACTAGCATTTAAAATTTCTGATTCTATAGAATACTTTGTAATCCTGAAATAATGCTTTCATTTCAATATTTTTTTAGAATATAAAAAGATTTAACTAGCATTTAAAATTTCTGATTCTATAGAATACTTTGTAATCCTGAAATAATGCTTTCATTTCAATATTTTTTTAGAATATAAAAAGATTTAACTAGCATTTAAAATTTCTGATTCTATTGAATACTTTGTAATCCTGAAATAATGTTTTCATTTCAATATTTTTTTAGAATATAAAAAGATTTAACCAGCATTTAAAATTTCTGATTCTATTGAATACTTTGTAATCCTGAAATAATGCTTTCATTTCAATATTTTTTTAGAATATAAAAAGATTTAACCAGCATTTAAAATTTCTGATTCTATTGAATACTTTGTAATCCTGAAATAATGCTTTCATTTCAATATTTTTTTAGAATATAAAAAGATTTAACCAGCATTTAAAATTTCTGATTCTATTGAATACTTTGTAATCCTGAAATAATGCTTTCATTTCAATATTTTTTTAGAATATAAAAAGATTTAACCAGCATTTAAAATTTCTGATTCTATTGAATACTTTGTAATCCTGAAATAATGCTTTCATTTCAATATTTTTTTAGAATATAAAAAGATTTAACCAGCATTTAAAATTTCTGATTCTATTGAATACTTTGTAATCCTGAAATAATGCTTTCATTTCAATATTTTTTTAGAATATAAAAAGATTTAACCAGCATTTAAAATTTCTGATTCTATTGAATACTTTGTAATCCTGAAATAATGCTTTCATTTCAATATTTTTTTAGAATATAAAAAGATTTAACCAGCATTTAAAATTTCTGATTCTATTGAATACTTTGTAATCCTGAAATAATGCTTTCATTTCAATATTTTTTTAGAATATAAAAAGATTTAACCAGCATTTAAAATTTCTGATTCTATTGAATACTTTGTAATCCTGAAATAATGTTTTCATTTCAATATTTTTTTAGAATATAAAAAGATTTAACCAGCATTTAAAATTTCTGATTCTATTGAATACTTTGTAATCCTGAAATAATGCTTTCATTTCAATATTTTTTTAGAATATAAAAAGATTTAACCAGCATTTAAAATTTCTGATTCTATTGAATACTTTGTAATCCTGAAATAATGCTTTCATTTCAATATTTTTTTAGAATATAAAAAGATTTAACCAGCATTTAAAATTTCTGATTCTATTGAATACTTTGTAATCCTGAAATAATGCTTTCATTTCAATATTTTTTTAGAATATAAAAAGATTTAACCAGCATTTAAAATTTCTGATTCTATTGAATACTTTGTAATCCTGAAATAATGCTTTCATTTCAATATTTTTTTAGAATATAAAAAGATTTAACCAGCATTTAAAATTTCTGATTCTATTGAATACTTTGTAATCCTGAAATAATGCTTTCATTTCAATATTTTTTTAGAATATAAAAAGATTTAACCAGCATTTAAAATTTCTGATTCTATTGAATACTTTGTAATCCTGAAATAATGCTTTCATTTCAATATTTTTTTAGAATATAAAAAGATTTAACCAGCATTTAAAATTTCTGATTCTATTGAATACTTTGTAATCCTGAAATAATGCTTTCATTTCAATATTTTTTTAGAATATAAAAAGATTTAACCAGCATTTAAAATTTCTGATTCTATTGAATACTTTGTAATCCTGAAATAATGTTTTCATTTCAATATTTTTTTAGAATATAAAAAGATTTAACCAGCATTTAAAATTTCTGATTCTATTGAATACTTTGTAATCCTGAAATAATGCTTTCATTTCAATATTTTTTTAGAATATAAAAAGATTTAACCAGCATTTAAAATTTCTGATTCTATTGAATACTTTGTAATCCTGAAATAATGCTTTCATTTCAATATTTTTTTAGAATATAAAAAGATTTAACCAGCATTTAAAATTTCTGATTCTATTGAATACTTTGTAATCCTGAAATAATGCTTTCATTTCAATATTTTTTTAGAATATAAAAAGATTTAACCAGCATTTAAAATTTCTGATTCTATTGAATACTTTGTAATCCTGAAATAATGCTTTCATTTCAATATTTTTTTAGAATATAAAAAGATTTAACCAGCATTTAAAATTTCTGATTCTATTGAATACTTTGTAATCCTGAAATAATGCTTTCATTTCAATATTTTTTTAGAATATAAAAAGATTTAACCAGCATTTAAAATTTCTGATTCTATTGAATACTTTGTAATCCTGAAATAATGCTTTCATTTCAATATTTTTTTAGAATATAAAAAGATTTAACCAGCATTTAAAATTTCTGATTCTATTGAATACTTTGTAATCCTGAAATAATGCTTTCATTTCAATATTTTTTTAGAATATAAAAAGATTTAACCAGCATTTAAAATTTCTGATTCTATTGAATACTTTGTAATCCTGAAATAATGTTTTCATTTCAATATTTTTTTAGAATATAAAAAGATTTAACCAGCATTTAAAATTTCTGATTCTATTGAATACTTTGTAATCCTGAAATAATGCTTTCATTTCAATATTTTTTTAGAATATAAAAAGATTTAACCAGCATTTAAAATTTCTGATTCTATTGAATACTTTGTAATCCTGAAATAATGCTTTCATTTCAATATTTTTTTAGAATATAAAAAGATTTAACCAGCATTTAAAATTTCTGATTCTATTGAATACTTTGTAATCCTGAAATAATGCTTTCATTTCAATATTTTTTTAGAATATAAAAAGATTTAACCAGCATTTAAAATTTCTGATTCTATTGAATACTTTGTAATCCTGAAATAATGCTTTCATTTCAATATTTTTTTAGAATATAAAAAGATTTAACCAGCATTTAAAATTTCTGATTCTATTGAATACTTTGTAATCCTGAAATAATGCTTTCATTTCAATATTTTTTTAGAATATAAAAAGATTTAACCAGCATTTAAAATTTCTGATTCTATTGAATACTTTGTAATCCTGAAATAATGCTTTCATTTCAATATTTTTTTAGAATATAAAAAGATTTAACCAGCATTTAAAATTTCTGATTCTATTGAATACTTTGTAATCCTGAAATAATGCTTTCATTTCAATATTTTTTTAGAATATAAAAAGATTTAACCAGCATTTAAAATTTCTGATTCTATTGAATACTTTGTAATCCTGAAATAATGTTTTCATTTCAATATTTTTTTAGAATATAAAAAGATTTAACCAGCATTTAAAATTTCTGATTCTATTGAATACTTTGTAATCCTGAAATAATGCTTTCATTTCAATATTTTTTTAGAATATAAAAAGATTTAACCAGCATTTAAAATTTCTGATTCTATTGAATACTTTGTAATCCTGAAAT